CTGATAAAGCCAGTGAAGTTATAAAATGCACTTTCCCAATGACCAGCCATCACACTTCTAAACACACAACCAAGAGAAACCTCCTGTGTGAGCATTAGACGAAGGTGAGAATGTTCTGCCAATCTGAATTCATCCATCCTATTCAGTGATCTTCAAGGACTATCGCAGTTCAACTTTTGGCAGGATGCTTTGCTCATTGCTACAGAGTCCTCCAGACTCCGCAGTTAAGCGGCCATGCTGCTGCAGGGTTCTCCCTGTTCAGGCAGCCCGGCCAGTGCCCTCTGCTTCTGCTACACTGCCTCATGCCTCATACTGCATGCCTTCCACCCAGGGCTCCCCCTGTCATAAGGTACACGATGTGGTGGGACCAGGTGAGGTATGCCAGCGTGATAACACTCAGGAGGCTTCGGGCAGTGGGAACACATCCTTCTGCCCCTGCTCACTACGGTCTGGCACTCACTGGGGGCAAAGGACACAGCAGCTGCTGCTTCTATGCTGTTTGCAGGTTCGGAAGTTACTTTGTACTAAGTTGAACTTTATTAGCAGTGAGGGAGAGAACCCATGTCCAGGTGCTAGGAGATAACTGATGCAACAAAGTTGTCCCCGACTGTATCCATGCTATGGCACGTGTACCCACACAATAACATTTGAAAAACCATTGATCTTTTAAGGTCCCAGTGTCTCTTTTATAGAGAATGGGATAGTGCATAGTCTTATGGTTGCATATTTTAGATGGGGGAAGTCAGAATCTTGCATATGGCACTTAAGAAATTTTATTATGATGCTGGGGAGATGGCATCAGTTAGGAGGTTGCTGTACAAGTATGAGGACTGTTTGACCCCCAACACTCGAATAAAAAGTTTGGCATGGTGTGTGCATTTATAATCCCAGCACTAGGGAGGCAAAGATGGAGATTTCTGCACCTCACTGGCCAGCCAGCCTAGCCTAATTGGCAAGCTTTGAGTTCCAGTAAAAGGCCCTAAAAATCGAGGTGGATGATCCCTGGATGACATCTGTGGTTGTCTTCTGTGTGCACTAGCAGCATCAGCATCTGTACTCCCACACACCTGAGCACCTCCTCACTCTCTCAAACACACCAGTACATACTGAAAGAAATATACTATTATGACCCACAGGAGTCCCAGTGAGAAAATTATTTGTGAATAAAAAAAAATGGTACTGATTAACGCTGTTTATTTTGAGACAGCTAAATTCTAGTTAAAAGTTTTACCACAGAAAGCAGTATTGTTTTTTAAAAAAAATATTTTAAGTGTGTGTGTGTGTGTGTGTGTGTGTGTGTGTGTGTGTGTGTGTGCATGGTATACTCTTGAACATGCATGTAGCAGGAAGCAGAGAGTACAGGAAGCAGAGAGATGGCAGGAATCTTTTGAGAACCTGAAGCCTGCCCTCCCCAGTAACACACACCCTCCAGGAAGGCCACACCTCTTAATCCTTCCCAGATAATTCCACCAACTTAGTCCCAAACATCCAAGCAAATGAGTCCCAGGAGGCCAATCTCACTCAAACCACCATGAATGGCAAGCTAGGGCACGGGGCTGGGGGTGGGTAGAGGAGGGGACAGCTAGTATAGAAGCCTGGACACACGGGTCACTCTGCTATCCAATCTGAGGAGGCAAGTCTGCATCCACTGATTTTTCTGTCTCTGGGTGGGGTGAGGTCGTGGGGAGGGTGGAGATTGGCAGTCTGGAACCTTCATCAGGCTACCTGGAGCTCCTTCCCTGTTTCCCTATCTCAAGGCAGCTTACCCTAAACCCAGAGAGGGACTCCCTTCCTGGGAATTGCCAATTCCCAGAAACTTGTCCTAAACCACACTCGCAAGCTTAGTGTACAAGGCTAGGCTCTGCTGTATCATTTTTAAAAGTAGAGCTAGATCACGGGTCTCTAACCACATGTCTTTCCCCCCACTCCCGGCTGTGAAAATGTCATGTTTCTGCTTTAGGGTCTCAGCACATGTCGTTCTTTCTGCCTGGAAGGCTTATCCCCAGAGAATTACTGAATTATCAGCCGGTTTGTCATCACAGCCAAGAGGCTTGCCCTGACCCCTCTGCTTACTGGTGACCACCCACCTGCAGCTCAGATACGATCTAGTAAGTTACCCAACTCTTTCTTTCCTGCCTTCCATTCTTTGTCTTCTTCTGCCTCACATGGAAAGCCACTTACATACCTCAGACCACAGTTTAGTCATTCCTTTTCTTTCATGGACATTTTCTGCTTTCATGCTTGGTCTCTATTCTCTGCCCTTCAGCTTACACACTCACTGTTCCATAAAGACATACGTCCTTGGGTGTTATCAAATCATACGGCGTTTGGCTTGTTGAGTGTATTCATAGATGTACCAAGGCCTTCACTCTTTGTTGCTATGGGTGCATTCTGCTATGGGTTTAAAGATCCAGGTACATTTGTCACACACGTATGTGCGCTTGTAGCTGACCCCTAGTATTTTGTGGTGTACACTTCACCCATTCTCCCAAGATGCATCTGACTGCATGATTTATGCGCAGCTCATGGTGAGGGTACTCACTCTGTCCCTTTAGACACCTGTTTGAGAATGGACTGGATGTTCATCCAGGACAGAGGTTCAAACACATGCACATTCTAATCGTCTTACATGTAGTTACTCAGGGACTCACCACAACCCAGCGAAGAGGCATAATCCTCATTTTGCAGATGAAGAAATGCAGGCACAGTGTACTTGCCCCACAGGGGGTCCCTGCCACTATTTTCTGCCCATCATCTACCTTTTTTGACTTGTTCCAGTCAGCAATCCCTAGTCTTTAGGCTGTGGGAAGGCAGTAGGTTTAGTAGTTCAGACTCCAGATGCCACAGCTGTTACCACGCTAGTCCAACTCTAGCACTGTTACCCCATATTACCCCAGCACTTCTGTCTAGCAGATGTGTTACCTCCAGATGGTACCAGGCAAAGATCTACCAGGGATAGTGGTGGGAAAAGGAGAACAGTTGCAACTCTGCCTCACTGCGACCAACGGTGGCTTCCTCTGCTTTGCCTACCCTTGGCTCACGCAAGCCACAGCTGTCTCTCCTTAGTACCAGGGATTTTTGTGGCTTTTGCCTAGATTTGCATAGATTTGTAGATCTGTATATCTCTTCCTTGTTTCTGGTGCAACACCGGGTGTCCCTTATATTCTCCAGTTTTTATCACTACTTGGAATTGCCGTCTTGGTTTACTCCTTCACCTGTTGATCCCCTGCAACCCACCCCAGTAAGATGGTCAATACCTTCCCAGCAAGGACCAGGTTTATCTATTTATGGCCCCATCTTCAGGTGAGTGCCAGCATGGAGCAGTTAGAGGACCACAGAACTAGCCATGTTTTCCTTTGGGAGTTCACCAGAACCAGAAGCCCCCTCGTCTCAAAGTTTTTACTATCCCTCAAGAGTGCCAAGCTGGGGACTAACCTTTTAGCATATGGGCTTTGAAGGCCATTTAAAATCTGAACTATAGCATTCTCCCAATAGTTATGAGGAGTTTTGTAGCCCCTTGTCCTTGGGTAGTTGCCAAAACTGATAATTGATAACTATTCTGAGGCTAGAAAAAAATGTGTCATCTTGCTGATATCTCAATTTTGCCTTTCTTTCCTTCCCTATTTGCTTCAGTACACTGAGCTACACTCCCAGGATTATTTCACTAAGTTTCCTAAGCTGACTTTGAACTCATTCTGCAGCTCAGGTGAGTTTTCAACTTGCAATCTTCCTGCCTCGGCTTTCTGAGCAGCTAGGATTACAGGCTACAGTTGAACTTTTGGGGGTTGAGGGCAGGGCACCACCCAGCTCCCAAATAAACACACAGAGACTTATCTTTACTTAAGAATGCATGACCTTTGCTTGGCTTGTTTCCAGCTAGCTTTTCTAACTTAAATTAACCCAATTCTCATCTTCAACATTTTGCCTCTGAGCTTTTTACCCTTTCTTTGTTTGATATATCTTTTTTCCCTTCTTACTCCATGGTTGGGCATATGGCTGAGTGCCTGGCCCCTGGTGTCCTCCTTTTTCTTTTCTTGATCCTCACCCTTCTTCTTTCAAGCTTAGATTTCTCCTTTTTATTCTCTCTGACTGACAGCTCCGCCTATCCCTCCCTCCTGCCTACCTATTGGCTGTTTGGCTCCTTAGTAGACTAATCAGGTATTTTAGGCAGGCCCAATAACACAGCTTTACAGAGTTAAACAGATGCAACACATATTTGTATCATTAAATAAATAATCTACAGCATAAATGAAGGTAACATCTCTTAAACTAATACAATGAGTTCACATTACAAGGCCTAGCCCAATTTTTATTTCTTAACTTACCTTCATAGAAGAACTAATAAAAATATTTTCCAGAGACTATAGAGATGGCTCAGTGGGTGAAAGTGCTCATTACATGAGAACTGGTGTTCAGATTCCAAGCACCCACATAAAAACTGGGTGGGATAGCCTGCATACCTGCAGCCTCAGCACTGTGATGAGATGGAGATGTGAGGATCGCAGAGGGCTGCATGGGCAGCCTCTGTAGCTCCAGGTTCACAAAGAGATCCTATCTCAAGGGAGTAAGGCAGAAAATGATTGATCAGACATTCTCCGTTGGCATCCATGCACACGATGGGAGTATATATCTGCAGACATGTGTACAAACAGTATACTATATTCTCACACACGAAAAATAAATGTATAATAGTTTTAAGACAGGCTGAATATTTTGTTTTGTTTGAGACAGGGTCTCTCTATGTAGCACTGGCTAGCCTGGAACTTGCTATGTAGACCTGGCTGGCCTTGAACTCACAGAGATCTGCCTACCTTGGTTTCCTGAGTACTAGGATTAAAGGTGTAAGGCACCATGCCCAGAACGACCAACTAAAATTTTCTATGCGCAAATACCCTTAAAAATCTCACAGGCGGCCATTTCGTGGACGCCAGGGAACAGAGAGCATCTGCCAAAGCAGATCCCAAAGTGCGAGGGTGGGCGTGTTGGAGTGATGGGGTTTGAGCCTCGGTGTTTGAACCTAGGATCTCGAAATGCATCGTGATTCCTGTCCACTAGCTTGTAAGGTGTATGTAGGTAATCTTGGAAACAATGGGAACAAGACTGAACTAGAACGGGCTTTTGGCTATTATGGACCACTTCAAAGTGTGTGGGTTGCTCGGAACCCTCCTGGCTTTGCTTTCGTTGAATTTGAGGATCCCCGGGATGCCGCTGATGCTGTCCAAGAGCTGGATGGAAGAACACTGCGTGGCTGCCCTGTGAGAGTGGAACTGTCAAATGGTGAAAAAAGAAGTCGCAATCGTGGCCCGCCGCCCTCTTGGGGAGATGACTACCGAAGGAGGAGTCCTCTACCTCGGCGAAGATCTCCAAGAAGAAGAAGCTTCTCTCGAAGCCAGAGCAGGTTGCTTTCTAGAGATAGGAGAAGAGAAAGGTCTCTGTCTCGGGAGAGAAACCACAAGCCATCTCGGTCCTTCTCTAGGTCTCATTGCCGATGAAGTCAAATGTCAAATGAAAGGAAGTGGAAGACCAGTTTGCTAAAAAAGTAGTGTACAGGAAATAACTTCATTTGACAGGAGTATGTACAGGAAATTCAAGTTTTGTTTGAGATTTCATAATCTTGGTGCATTTTAAAGATGTTTTAGCTGTTCAAATTTGCTTTGAACTTTAGTTTTTCATAGACTGAGATAAACCTAGATCCTTCCCAGTTAAAGTGTGATGTGCTAATGCTACAGAAACCACTGGTGGAAATGGAATAAAGCTCTAGTTTGTCTAGTGGCTGGGATACGGTATGGAGCTGTGGGTAAAATGATAGGCAGTCTTTAAAAGCTGTTAGTGAACACCAGCTAACAGGTAAAGGATGGGAACTGCGCCCTGAAGACTTTCAGAGGTTCCTTACTGATTGCTATAGATGGACACATGGCTGTAACATTTTTTATTTGGAAATGGAAGACTTTAAGTTACCAGTGTCCTATCAGTGTAAGGGTACATTGTAGAGCTGAGCCTTTGAGTTACCGTGTAAGATTTCTTTTTCATGCTGTCATTTGTAATATGTTTGTGAGAAGTCTTGGGATTAAAGTTTTGGTTACAAATTGTTTAACTTGAAAGCCTGTTTTTCCTTGCACACTCAAATCTGTGAGCTTGGTATGAAGTCCAAGTATAATATTCCTATTAGAAACCATACTTATATTTTCTTGTAAAGTGCTTTTGGATTAATAAAATACTAGCATAATTGTGTAGTAAAAAAAAAATCTCACAGGCACATGGTAATAAATTATATAGTTCAAGGGTTGGGAAGTTGATCACAGGGTTCTCGCTGGCCTGGGCAATGAATTATCGAGTATTCTGTCTTGCACTGTGGGGCAAAGCAAAGTCACATGGCCAAACCCAGTCACAGGACCCACTCTGTGAGGGAGACAAAGTACAAAGTCCCATTGCAGAGGGAGTGGATACAAGGAGCCATGGAGATTGAGCTTTCAGTCACCTCTGCCATACCACAAGAGCAAGCGGGTCCACTTTCCAGTCACAATAGCTTTCATCGGAGGATGGGAACTTCTATAGTACAGGGAATAGCTCACTGGTCATTGAACGATCATAAACAACTTGTGATGTGGACACTCAGTCCACAAAGTTCGCTTTGGCAAACTTTCAAGTTCACCGTTTAAGCCAGTTACTATTTAACTCCCAATGAACAAAGACCTCTGGAAACAAGGTCTCCCCAGTGGGCACATCCAGATGGCGAGAGGGTCAGTTGCACAAGCTTGCACAAGTCTCTTCGTACTTTTCTTGCAGTTCAATTTACTGAATACTTAATAGTGTAAAAACAGCAATTACAAAGAGCAGGACCAGTTTATCCAGAGGGAATTAGTTTGGGCACTAAACAGGGCCAGTCACACTTTTGAAGCAATGCATCCTTTTGAATAACCAGCTATATCAATGGTAATGTAGATTGAGGGTAAAAAAATTAATTAAAAACATAAATCCCGAGGCAACACACACTCAAAAGCCATCCATCTCATAAGACCTTACCTGACAATTCTCAGGCTCTGAGAGACATTTACTTGACTACTTTCTTCCAAGTAGTTCAAATCCTTCAAGACGAATCTCATGCATTTGTTATGCAAATAGGAAAAGCTTTCATTATGTTGTATATATATTTAATGAGTTTCTGTGAAAAATGAAAATAACTGCTAAAGAATCTAGCCATTTAATTCTTTGACCCACTTTTATTTTTACTTCAGTGGTGGGGATTGACAGCTATATGTGATAATAATATATCTTGTTCAAAGATCTAGGAATGAACCTCATGGCATTTAAGATCTAAGAGGAGTCTAAAGAAAGGCCAATTCCCATGGAACATGCAGGTTGTGGAGGTAGTAACTATATACATTTAAAACCAGTGGGAAAAATAAGAGAATTTTTAAAAATTAAATGTTCTGAAATACTAATAAAAGTAGTTGGTGGGACAATGCTTTCTTTATAGCATCCACCAGCTTGAATTCATTTTGAAACAGTCCTGTTACACATGAGGGATGACATGACTTTTGCCAAAGCCCCAAATATAATCACCAATTAGCCCAACTCAGCCAGAGGCTTAAGGGTGGGACTGGCTAGTCACAGAATTCCTATGGTGTAGGGCCTGAACTAGAGGACAAGTTCTAACTGGCCTTAATAATAAAAATCTGGAGCCAGCTATCAGGGTAAATGATGAAAGATCAGAGACAAAGAAGCTAGCCACAGCCACACCTTACCTCGCCAACTTCGCAGCGGAAAAGGGACCAAGCTCCTGTCTCCTCCCACTTCCTCTCTCTGCCCAAATGTATCATTTCCTATTTCCTCCTCCCAGGTGCCTAGATTAAAGGTGAGTGCCACCGCTGCCCGGCCTCTATGGTTAACTAATGGCTAGCTTCGCACTCTGATCGCCAGACAAGCTTTATTTGTTAGAGTATAAACCAAATATCACCACACTGAACGTGGGAACTTGTCAGCCTAAACTCAGAAGTGTATGGAACTTCCGGGGTACACATACTCTGTGGAGTGCAAATGTGAGGCTTGGACCTGCTTCTGAATAGCTCACCAGGTTTGATGATGCCCTTATCACTTGCTTATCCCTAAGGCAGAGATGTTTGCTATCGTAGAAACTGTCAGGGCTCGATGATAGTCACGTCACAGTCCCGGGCTGCTTTCCTACCAGGCCACAGGCACTCTTGTCTGCTTGGCCATCAGGCCCTCCCTCCCCTGATGTGGCTGGTGAAATGGAGCAGTCAAGAGGAGGGGATTCATCTTGGTGGGGCAGCAGCAATGGCTGTAGTAGTGCTCTTGTGGGGACTTGAAGGAATGGCTATTAGTACTCACATCAAGGGACATTAGCCAGCACCCCTGTCCATCAGCACTGTGTTTACCAGAGATTTGATAGTGTCCTTTCTGCCCAGCCTTTGGACTATCCTTTTAACAAATTGGGAGTGCCCTTAATTAGTCAGAATCAATTTTTAGTGCTTAAACTTGAGAACCCCCAGTGGGACTATTAGCCAAGATATTGTCTGAGTCCATCTAAATCGGGCTTTCAGTTACTAGGCACAGAAAGTCCTAGCTGATGCAGGAGTGCTGGCAGTGAGTGTTCTCAAGTGGTTTGAGCAATAGAAGGCTGTTAGAGTAGTGTTTATGGCTGAACTCAGCCAGGTGCCTTCACTGCTGGCTCCTAGTTTGGGCAGGAAATAGTCACATGGTGACTGAGTTCTAGGGAGGATTCAGGGCTGACCCCATGCTCAGAAGCAGGATCCTCTCGAGACCAGCAAGCATCACACCCTCTTCACCTCCCTACTGGCTGTGGGAAGGGAGGTGAGAAGAAACCCAGCCTAGTTTATCCATCCAACCATCGTTTCTTCTCCAGGCTCTCATCCGGTTCTGTCAGTATTGTCAGCTTTGCAAACCTGGCCTGTTTGATGGTCTGGGATCTATACCCTGAATGAGCAAATCTAAAGCTGAGAGGGCCAGGAGGATTGCCTCCAAACTGTGTATATTGGATTAAGCCACTACTATAACAAAGACATGGGAGACAGCCATTCTAGGTGGTGGTCTTATTCAGAGTCATCAAGGCATGAATCTGTGTGGTAATGTCCCCACACAATCCAAGAGTGTGCTCAGAACCTACCTTGAATAAATTACAATGCTGTTGTCTCTGCTATGGTTTGGGTGTGAAATGTCCCCTGAGGCCTGGTGTATCGATGCCACCCTAGCTGATGATGCTATTTTGGGAAGCAGTAGAAACTTCAGGAGGTGGGGCCTAACTGGAAGAAGTAGGTCATTGAGGGCATGTCCTATCTTGCCCTGGCCCCTTCCTGTCTCTTCTCCCTGTGTCCTGGAAGCCATGAGGTGAATGGCTCTTCCTTATATTCCCTCTCTGTCATAATGTTCTGCCTCACTACAGGTCCAGGAGCAGAAGTCCGAGGCCATCTTCATTGACATAGTAAGTTTAAGGCCAGCCTGGGATACATGAGAGCCTGTGTCAGAATGAAGCAAAATATGTTTTTTGACATTTAAATATGGCTCTTCACTGCCTGCTCACATTTTCAAGGCTGCCTTACATTTTTCTAAAAGTAACATAGTTATTATACTTCATATCTGAGATAGTTAATATCCGAAAGCTTCAGAGTGCTTTAATGATAATGCTGTCTACTAGTCCTGTTAGTTGTTGCTCATGGTGCTTTTCCCCCCCTTATATATTTAGTGTTTTTAAGAAAAGGGCCTTTGTTCCATAGAAGTATGTGTGCTGCAGAATAATCCATTTGCACACTGTAAAGATTTGTCACTCAAATTGGCTTAATAATAAGCTGATTGGCTGATAGCCAGAAAGGAAAAATAGGTGAATGACCAAACTAAGGATGCTGGGAAGAAGGGCAGAGCCAGAGGAGTCAGTTGAGACAGTTGTCAGCCAGATGGAGAACACAAGTCTGATGAAAATGAGATAGAGGTAAAAGACACAAGCCTCGGGGCAGCACAGAGATTAATAGAAGTGAGTTACATTGTAAGAGCTAGTTAGTAACAAGCCTGAGTTATTAGCTGAGTATTTATAACTTATATTGAGTCTCCACGTAGGTTATTTGGGAATTGGTGGGTGGAACAGAAACTTCCACCTACTTGTGTGTATCCTCTCTTCCTATAAGGATAGTGTAAAAACATTTACACAATTTATATTCAAAGTGAGGTTATACTGTTATAGGAATAATATGCTATTGACAAATCACTTCCCTCACTTGGAGATTAATGAAGGAAAAGTTCTTCAATAGTGTTTGTCTATCACTGGCTAATGCTCAAACAGAAAATTTTAAGCTAATGCATTCCATATATACTGCTGTTCCTAAATCTCATTCAGGTCCCAGCCTCAGGTTACACTTTGAACAATTCAGATAGAGACAGGAGACTGCAAGTCTGGTCATTTAGGCAGATGGGAGATTTACACAGCAAAGATATTGCCAGATTTATTTCATAAGTACACCAG